CCCGTGTCCCCTGCATCGGCAGGCGGACTCTCAACCACTGCGCCACCAGGGAAGCCTGTTGTATCTGGTTTTATATTCATAATTTTGTTATTATTTTTTTTTAAAAAGAACCTCCTTCTCCTTACCCCATTTCCTCAAATTGTATGAACTTCCTGAGCCAGGCGACTTGGATCTGACTCTGTCTTTGATCCTTTGGCTCAAAGAGACAGGTGCTTTACATCAGCTGACATGTTACACCAACACATAATGACCTCATAAAGTTCTTATATTTTATGACTTAAACTAGTCGCTAGTTCTCCGCGAAAGGTGGCTATAAAGGGTGGAAGTGGGGTGGGGAGAGCCCTCCTCACGTTTATCATTAATGAGATCATTTTTCTTATTTAAACGATAATAAAGTCATAAATCCTAGGCCACTTCTTAGCATCCTAAGTTTAGAACAGTGATGGATGAGTGTCTCTTTTTATGCCCCCATTTTAAAAAATATCAGACCTGTACAGAATAGTGGCAACAAACCATTCTGGATTCATGTCTGAAACCCCTATTAGGATTAGTATTTAGCTATATGCCCTTCAATAGGAAAATTCACTTCAATGGGTTCTTTTCTCTCTACTAAATATGATTTATTGCTTCTGCAAATGACAAAGAAGCTTTGGAAGATCACTACGCTCCATTACATCATTTTCGGCCTTGGTTCTGCACGTTCATTTACCTAGATTACCAAGACAGGGAAATGCTGCTGTTTTATTTTCCATTAAGGAGAGTCTGGGTCGAAAATGGTTATCATAGTGAATTCATTCTGCTGTGATAAAAGGTAACGCTCATCCATTCTGGCTTATTGTTTAAAAGTGACATGAAATTATTATAGGTTTAAGGGGTTGTTTCATAAACTCTTGATGGTTTTGAAAGAGAATTTTAGGGTAAATGATGAAACCATCACTGAAAGGTTTCACATGTAATAATCATTAAATTCTTTAGTCATGGAATTGAAAATGTTCCATCCAGCTCTCTAACGTATTGATATATTCACTTTGAAAAAGGAATTGTGGGAACTTTAGATCCTTACGATATGGCATTACTCTAATGTGTTCAGGTTATTTTTGTGTTAGCAGAATTTAAAGCTAGTGCTCTCATTTCATCTGGGCGTGCACTCTGCAGAAAACAGCTCTTTCTGAAGATAGCCCAGCAGTTGACCTCCGCCATCTTAATGATGTTTTCCCTGTCTTTCTAGTAATGTGGAATGTATAAAACTCTTGCAGAGCAGCGGAGCAGATTTCCATAAAAAGGACAAGTGTGGGAGGTATGTAAACAGGGAACTCTGCTTCCAGTGCCTAAATAAAAGGAGTGGGGAGCAGTCCATCTGGAAATCGTGTTACGTTGAAATGGTAAACAGCGAAGCTAGCTGGGGAGATTCCATTCTCAGAAGGAAACCCCTTCTATACCAGCAAAGCAGGCACAAGGCACAAGGAAAGAATCTCCTCTCCCTGCTTCTGTTTAGAAGTGCCAATTGTTTCTCTGATGCTTCCAATATATATATATAACTGTATCCATGTGGAGGATTACATATTTTATGTGTGCATATATATTTGTGTCTATAAAATATGTAATTTCCCACATGGATATAGTTTAGAAAATTCTGTCTGTAGCAGAGTAGAACACTTCAGCCCTTCCAACCCAGAATTTGGTCACAAGATCTGGAGCACTTTATTGTATTTATTGAACATTTCATTTTGGGATAAATCTTGAGACACATTTAAAACATGAATCATAACTAATGAGAACCTGCTGTATAGCACAGGGAACTCTACCCAATGCTCTGTGGTGACCTAAATGGGAAGGTATCAAAAAAGAGGGATATATGTATACATATAGCTGATTCTCTTCGCTGTACAGCAGAAACTAACACAACATTGTAAAGCAACTATACCCCAATTTAAATAAATAAATAAATAAAACATGAAACACACACATGCCACCTATAGCCCCTTTGGCTATTGGGATGGGTCGTAGAACTTTTCTTACCTTAATTGTCCTTTGCATGCATAGCTAAATCATGCCATAATACTACCTGGTACAGGGAAGAAAACAGCATGAGGAAAGGTGGAGGAAGTGAGGACATGATCAAGAAAACCTCAGGTCATTCAGTTTGGAAACAGCATTGGACACATTTAGGGGAAAGAGAGAGATTTTATAAAGATAGACCAGGGCTAACTTGGGAAAGTCTTCAATTCCAAACTAAAATATCAAGGCTTTGTTCACTGGGGCGGACTGAAGGTTTTAGTACAGGTTTGTTATATGTAGGTATTGGACCTTAGAAAATCCAGTTCTTCATTGATGCCAACTAAAAGTTACGTGGAAGTTGCATCAGGGCAAAGGAGGCCAAAAGGGGTGGTATTACAAGAGTCCAAAGGAGCAGTAATGTAGACCTGAACCAGGATAGGCACTAGGAATGGAAAGAAAGGAGAGATCTACAGCTGGGTGGCCTTGTCTGAAGCCACCATCTTTGTAGCCTTCCTTCTAACGTAAAGTCAGAGAAAGGCATGTCTCTTGGCCTCCACACCGAGAGCCAACACCCCTAGGAATACTGCTGTCTGTGCTGGGGCTAATGATGGGCATCTGTTTTGCAGACTGAATGAAGTAATAGACTGCTGTTTGTTTTTCAGGACCCCTCTGCACTATGCAGCTGCAAATTGTCATTTCCACTGTATTGAGACATTAGTGACCACAGGGGCTAGCGTTAATGAAACCGATGACTGGGGCCGCACCGCTTTGCACTATGCTGCTGCATCAGACATGGATAGAAAGTAAAAACAGCCTTACTTCTGTTTCCTCTCGGGGTGGCGGAGGTGGGGGGAGGTTGCTAAGTTTTCTTCATACCGCCTCACAGAGAGTGTGAATGAAGAATCCCTCTCACCCAGACCTAAAGGAGTTAGAATTGCTTCATCCCTAGCCCCGGGGTCCCCATTCTGCTCTCTTTTCGTTTGATTAGTACGTGTCACTGCACAATTACTTCTCCTCTCTGTTCTTTGGGTTGAATGCCAAGTGGAGCTGTCAAGCCTAGGTTTTCAATTCATTCAAAATCTGTCGTAATTTGTTCTGTCATATACTGCGGTTTTCATCATCACCACTTACGTGCTTCATTTGCTGTAAAACTTACATTTGCTAATAAATATGTCATGTGTCAAAAATATCCATCTATGCATATCCTAATAGTCTTCAAATGCAGCATCAGTATTTTAAAATAGGCACTGTTGTTCAAACCTGGGCATGAATACTCTTTCAGGAGCTGGAGTAAAGAAAGTTGGGTACCCTGATCATATATGGCTTCTAGGTCTCTAGGAATGGAAAGCAGAATTAAGTGAACCAGTTCAGGGGGAAAAGGTAGAAGAGGTACCCACCGTTTATGAGATTGTTCTCAAAGACTTGGGGACCAGGCCTTCCTTCATAGGAATACTTTTCGGTGATCCTGTTTGGAGAACTACTGAGTTATTTGCTGCCCTGTGCTATGGAGTTGCTTCTGGGTCAGTACTAACTCCTTTTCTTGTAGAGCAATGACTTTCAAATGTGTTAGACAATGACCCACACTAAGCAATACATTTTACATCATGACCCAATACACACACTCACATATATATGTTTTATACATATGTATGTAAAATGGAAACAAAGATTTCATAAAACCATATTTACTTTTGCTATGTGGGATGCATTTTGATGTACTTTTATTTCATTAAAAAAACTCTACTGACTTCAACCCGCTAAATTGATTTCACAATTCAGTAATGGATTATGATCCATATTTCCACAGTTTGGAAAATACAGCTTTTTTTCCTTCATATAATACTGGCAAGACTGTTGTAGCCTCAGGATCCCAGGGCCGCATGCTATTAATTCAAAAAACATTTATTGAGCATCTACTATATGCCAAGCTCTATGCTCTTCACTTGGAATAGAATGGGAGACAAATATACTTCATCTGTGAAGAGCTGGCAGAGGAATCCTAGATGGTGAAGAATTGCTCTGGCAGATAACGGGTGCTTAGGAACCCATTTATTCCTGGATAAATGAGATGCTCAACTGCCAAGGAGGCAGCAAGGAATGTTGTAGAAGCCAGGGAAGTTTAAGCTAGTCACTTCCTCTTTCCATGGGGAGTTTAGAATACTCATGGAAGGGTGGGCAGCATGATTGCTGTCTTAATCACTGATACCTTGGTGGAAGTTTTAGGAAAGCCATGTTCTCAGTCGGATTCCTTGGGAGAGAATAGACTTACTGGATGGCCTTGGGGAGAACCATGTATATCCTCCAAGAAAAATCAGTAGCGCTTGCTTCTTTTGAGTTGGGGGAGAAATTGTTAAGATATAAACTGCACCAAAATCATTAGCAACTTTGCCGCTAATTGTAATTTTTTTCTTTCCCTTATGCTGAGAAGTAAGACTGTCTTAGGAAACGCCCATGAAAATTCCGAAGAACTTGAAAGAGACAGAGAGCTGAAAGAAAAGGAAGCTGCACTGTAAGTTTCTTCTCAGCTTAAGCACAAGGTGTACTTACTGATGCTTTGTCTGCTGCTCTGGGTTGCCACGTGGGGCAGCCTTACTATTTTGGGGTCTCACTTGGGCTCTTGCAGAAGTGATGTGGGCTTGCCTTTGGTGAAGAAGAAACTATTCTTTTAATATATCCTTCAAATATGCTGTTTTCACACAAGGAACTCTTTCTAAAATTGAAACCTTTGCCATGACCATCACTGTGATTGGTCAGCAGTTTTTAGGACTAGGTACCTTAAATATAATTTCTGACTCTGCAATGTAGTATGCCTCAGGGGACATATTAAGCCTCCTCTGAGGGCCTCAGGCTCTCGTTTTGTGACCTGAGGATAACTATTTAGCAGATTCTATGAATAAATGTTTTGAGATTTTTGGTGTGAAATGCACCAGTCGTACTCTCCCCTTCTCCCCAGAAGACACCCATCAACTTACAAACAGCTCCTTGCTTCCTGCAGACAGCTGCTCTGTCACCCCTCATCCCACCTGCCCTGCTCTGGTGTCTGACAGAGATTCAGCTATTACTGTGATGGAGTGACTGCCAGCACCCAGGGCTGTGGATAACATGGGAACCCCTAATGCTTCCTCCTCTGAGAGCCCTTCGTGCACTGGAAGTGGCAGTGAGAAGGTTGTGCTCTGCCCAGTGCAGTGCCCAGTAGGTAGCTGGTGATCGGTAACTGTTTGTTGAATGAATGAATGAACACTTGAATAACTGGTGCCCACAGTTTGTGTCCTGCCCCTGTGAGACTCAGTGGATGTAGTGCTCTAAGAGTCTGCACACACACAGTCCTTAACTTGCTTATTCTCTTCTCCTGCTGTCAGAGGGACCCGTTTCTCTCTGACTTGAATGCTCATGTCCACTCTGGGGTCTTCCCACTGCCCACTGGGCTCTCTTCCCGTGTTCAGACCGTTGTGGAAAGGTGTGGTTAGAAAGTGAGGCCCCAGCGCAAGTTGTGGGGACATAACTTTGAGTGTTTCTGGGGTGAGCACAGGAAACACGGCTGTGAGTAAATCAGAATAACAAAGGTTTTGCCCTAATAGTCCAAAATTAAAATAATGGTATTCAAAGACTGTAGAATTTTAAGCCACCTCAGCAGATGCTCCCTTCTCCAGTGAAATGCAAGCTTGCCCTGGGCCGGAGCAGCCCTCTCTACATCTGATGGAGAGGGAAGGAGCAGGAGAGGCATGGGAAGGCTGGGGCCAGCCTGCTGGAGATCTGTTTCATGCAATGAAGTACTACTCCCCTTATCCAAATACACCCCTGACCTAATGCGCCTCTCTTGATTTTGCAGCTTAGGTGCCAAAATTACTAGTCAGGGCCCTGGGTGGTAAAGAAGACAAGCATTCCCAATTAAAACTGGATTTCATTTTCCCTTAGGAACAATGTGGAGAATATTCACGTTCTGTAGTATTGTTGTTATTTCTAATAGTCCTGTTGACAGTTATAGTTCAGCTGTATTCTGCATTAAATAGCTCTTTGGGAGTAATCCCAGTACTTTCCAAATTACATATTAAATTTATCAACTGATTTTTAGAGTATAATCCTTTCAGAAGCTGGGAATTGTGTGTCCACTAGAATGCTGTTCCTACTGAGTGATTTTATTTCAAGAACCAAATTCAGTTTAAAATGAGTCACACCTAGGATTCAGTCCATGGGCATTTAATTACAAAAATAAAAAGACTTCCTTTTAAGGTATAAATCACCAAAGACAGCCTGATACATCAGCACTCCAATAATAGTTTGATTTATTACAGAGAATTTTATGGATGAATCATGTGATCTGTAGGTATTTGGTTTAAAAAAGTTCTCTTTCATCAGGTTTTCTAGAAATTAAAATGTCTGGTTTCATATCTCTCTGTGTGTGATTTATTTACTCCTGTTGCCTTAGGTGTCATTTTAAGGTTTTTGAGTAAACTATAGAAATTGTCCATTGGAGGTCTTATTTCATATACAAGCTTATATTTAGGATCTTACAGTTTTGATTTGAGTATGAAATTGAATCACCCTAGCCTTGTAGAGGACATGTTTGTCCCACTGTCACAGAAATAAAACCAAAATCGTAGAACGTTGCCCCTGTCTACTTCCCTCTTTGACCAGCAGGATGGTCCCATTTGCAACACGCCCTGAACAGAACACATTATGTCCCCGAGTACCTGTGTCTTGGAGTCTGGGGCTCTTCAGCGGAGGTGGCGCCACTCCCCTTCCTCTTACCTATTGCAAAGATGGTGTTTTTTTCAGAAAAATTACAACTGTGTCAGAAAAGGCTTTTATTATTTTAAATATTATTTTAAATTTTATTATTATAAAATTTATTATTTATTATTTTATTTATTTTTCCAACCTTTTGATCTCAGAGTCTCCAGTGCAAGGTTAAAAATAAACACCCCTCTCTTGAGGTTTATCCCATTGCAATGCCTTGACCACTTCTGAGAACTTGTCTTTTGAACGTGGAGCTCTAAAACTTATTATTCAGTCATCTTGATGACAGGCAGGTTCTGTACCTTAAGATGAGAAGGGAAAAAAAAGACTTAATTACCCTCTAGTTCCTAAAGCTTTTCCTGAATTCTACAATGGCTATTTTAAGCTGAAGGAGGGGACTTCCCTGGTGGTCCAGTGGTTAAGACTCTGTGTTTCCACTGCAGGGGGTGCAGGTTCAGTCCCTGGTCAGGGAACTAAGATCCCACATGCTGCGTGGCTTGGCTGAAAAAAAAAAAAAAAAATTTAAGCTGAAATGAAGATAGCTGCAGAAAACACACATAAAACATCCAGTACATAAACCCTCATTGCTGTAGAATTTTTAAAGAAACACTTCAACTCACAAAGTGCTTTGTGGAACACTCATAATAAGAGAACATTTACATTAATTATCCCTTTTGGTCCAGAGATGTTTTCTGAAATAACATCTCATCTTTATACTTACAGATGTCTAGAGTTTCTGCTTCAGCATGATGCAAATGCATCTATCCGGGACAAGGAAGGCTACAATAGCATACATTATGCTGCTGCCTATGGCCACAGACAGTGTCTGGAATTGGTGAGCTGTTTTGTCTTGATTTGTTTTCTCTCACACAAACACACATACACCCAAACCTGAAAATGCTGGTCTTAATCTCTCAACGAATGTGCCCTCACTGCCTAATTCAGTCCCCACGGGAACTCACCTGGAAAGATATTCTGTGGTAAGCTATTAAATTGTTTCCCTTTACAATATGTAGATCTTTTTGTTCCATTTCTGCCCATTCTAGTCTCAGAGCTGACTAACAATTGATTCTTTTCCGCATTAACTTGGACTAGGAATTTTAGACCCTGTTGTGGACACAGTTTGTATTTTGAAGATAATTTGGATGTATCAAATAAGCTTAGTATATATTTCCAGAGTCACACTTAGCACCCCAATATCCAGTAACAGTGTCATCAGATGACTTACAGAACCATTAGGCATATGGGTTTGTTATAGTCCCACATTTGTGGTTTAGGAAAAGAAATCGGCAAGGGTATAACAGCAGAATTTACTGGAATTTCTAAACCACCCCAAATTTCAAACCCATTAGTGATCAAGAAACACTTGATTTGGAGTCTGAATCTCCTCTGTTGGTGTAGGTTACCAGACGCAAACTCAAATGTCTACAGGCACAGGAATATAAAAAATAAGTGAAGTGAGCCCAGGTGTAGATAATAGGGAGTGGTGGGGACTGTGGCAAATAGAGAGGACATGTTCTGTCTGAGGGGAGAAACAGCTAGTCAGCTGCAGCTGATGGAGACCAGATGGTACTGCAGACCCAGGTTTGCTAGAATTCCACTGTTTCAAGAGAAGCTACAAATCTAGACTTTTTGTGTGGAATTTCCTGTTTTGAAAACACTGGGTGGGCTAGAAAGAAAAATTATGGGTTTGTGGCTGAATCCTGACTGCAGGCCATCATTTGCTGTCTTCTGAGCATCACACTTGATTCAGCTTCACCAGGATACATGGGGTATCCCAAACTCACCATCTCTGGTCCAATGATAGATGCCAGCTTCCTTACTGGACTCCAAATGTTTTCCTTGTTCTTTTAAAGGAGAAGTCCTACTTTTCAGAGTTATTTGAAGGTGTGTTTGGTGAAACACTTGCCCTTCATCAACTGCATAGTTTATTGAGAAAGGCATGAGGCAGAGAGCCCGCAAGCACTGGTGTGAGTGCCTACATGGAAGTGACTCGATGCGCCAGTGAGGCCCTTTACCTTTGGCCTTGCTGCTGGTTTTTCAAATGGTTCCACTTAGGGTCTTTCTTACTATATTTGTTTTAACTATGAATGTGGGAAAATGTTCATAAAGATCACCCAGTTTGGAAATAAAAAGGTGATTATTCTGATATTGATTTTTGTGACATTTATTGGTGAATTGTACATACCTTCATCATTTCTGCAGACTTCCAAGTCAGCTTTAACTGAGGTTCTTGTGGATGCTAAAGATTTCTTTGCTTGACCTTGGGGGTGACGTTTTTTTTCTCTCCCGTTTTAATTCCATCATGGTTCCTCTTCCAGTTACTGTGGCTGCATAACAAATTAAAACAACACTAACCACTTATCGTCTTTGTTTCTGGTCAGGAATTCAGGTGTGGCTTAGCTGAGCAGTTCTAGTTAATATCCTATGAGATTACAGTGTCCGGGCTGGCATAATCTCAAAGGCTTCTTCTCTCATTTGTCAATCACGTGGGTAGGAAGAATCGAATTGCTGACGTTCCTTGGGCCTTTCTCTCCTCTACGTGGTTTCTTTTTGCGGTTTTCTCTAGCATGGTGTTTTCAGAATAGCTGGATATCTTACCTGGTGGCTCGGGTTACTAAAAGTATCTGCCCTGGGAGAGAGTGTGAGTGAGAGTGTGAGCAAGTAAAAGAAAGAGACCATATTACTTTCAACGATTTAGCCTTGAAGTTCACATTTCTGCGGCATCTGTTCATCGCCGCAGTCACAAAATCCAGAGAGGTGAAGTAAATGCCGCCTTCCAAGGGTAGGAGTATCAAAGAATTTGTGGACATATTTTAAAACCACCCAGTTCTATAGGAAGATGTAGGAAGCCAGTGATGTCAGAGCCTTCTATAAATTGAATGTAAAGTAGAATCACAAGTGGCCAAGGGGCAGTCTCTTATCTTACAGATGAACAAACCAAACCACAGGGGCATTTACTGGGTTGTCCAAAGTCATAGCTCTGGTCAGTAGAGGAAGTGGTACCATGAATCAGGATCCCTGATTTTAAAAAAAAATTTTTTTTTTTTTACCACATCATGCTGCCTTCCATTGCTGGTCAAAGCTCTACCACCATCCAAAGCTTTTCAACATAGGGCAAAATCTTGGTAGGACTTGGTTAAGATATAAGGCAATATCACTTCTTCCTTCTAACACCAGCAATGGAAGTTGATCTAGACCTCTCAGCAAATAGGATTTGTGTTTAGATCCCACAAAGAAAGGAGTGTTTATGTGTGTGTGTGTGTGTGTGTGTGTGTGTGTGTGTGTGTGTGTGTGTGTGTGTGTGTGTGAATGAATCAGTGGCAGAGTGAAGGTTTACTACTGTAACTACCCATATGAGCCTGCATTCCAAAGTTTACTTAAGACACAGCTGTCTTTAATTGGTTTTCTCTATGAAAACCATATGTCATCATTGGACATATGAACTTTTATTTCAAAGATTGTTATTATAGTCTTGATAACTTGTGCTGTTTTAAAGTACTTTGATGAGTTATCTTTAATCCCATAGTATAATAACTCTGATAATGATTTACCTGTAACACCTTTTTTTCTGTGTAAATAATATATGGCACATTATTTTCCTTTTTCAGGAAAGCCCTTTCAGGGCCATTATTTCTGTTATCCAATGAAAAGGTTTTCTGTCTACAGAAAGTTTCACAAGTGCTGTATGATAATGAAATTATCCCCTTGATTAGGTCAGCACTGTGATTCACAAAGCAATAATGATTCTTGGAAATTATGTACATACTTGACATACAGCACTGTATAATTTTAAGGTGTACAGCATAGTGACTTGACTTACATATATTGTGAAATGAGTACCATAATAAATTTAGTTAACATCGATCATTTCATATGGATAAGAGAGAAAGAAGGAAGGAAGGAAGGAAGTAGAGAGAGAGAGAGAGAGAGAAAGGAAGAAAAAGATTTTTTCCTTGTGATGAAAATAAGGACTGCTTTTGAACAATAAGTGGGCTTTTTGAAGGGCATCTTTTCTAACTTTAACTTTCTCTCTCGACTAGGACCTCAGTGCACTCATGTTCCTTAAAACTCCCATTTCTTTGAGGACTAGGTGTTAGGAAAGCAAGCCACTTAACCAATATGCACTAGGAGGTACGTACCTAAGACTCACCACCACCGTGCCAATCTTCTCCCTTATCTCATGACACAAACACGTCAGTCCTCCTAGGCGGTTATCTGTTTTACAAGTTGGTCCTGACTCTGTGTTAGATGCTAGAATTATGACAATGAAAGACACGATTCTGGTAGCTCTGAATGGCTTACTTGAGCCTCTGAGCAAGAATTATTCAGGGAGACCTTTTTTTTTTTTTTGGCCGCACTGCACGGCATGCAGGATCTTTGTTGCCCAACCAGGACCAGGGATCAAACCTGTGGCCCCTGCAGTGGAAGCACAGAGTCCTAACCATTGGACCACCCGGAAATTCCAGGGAGACCTTTCTTTAAGTCACATTTCCTAGCCTGTGTCTCTGGCCTGTGGAAGGTGTGGAGAGAGTAAATGAGTATTTGTGGCCCCTGGGCCTCCCATAGTAGACCAGGGCCTTTGTGCTTTGGAGTAGGAGTAGCATTAAAAAAGATGGGTGGCATCAGAGCCAGCTGATTTGTGAGGTTGGTAAAATTTGCCTTTTGCCTCTTTTCCCAGAGAGTAATTACCGTGATTATGCATATCATTAATTTTGATGCATATTTTATTTGACTCTTAGTGTGTGTTTACTTGGCATTCGTGGTTTACGGCTCCTGTCTGTGATCATAAGCTTAGAATTTGTAAACCATCCTTTGTGTTCAGTCCATTTTGCTATAATCAAAAAGGAACAGAAATTATTTAAGTCGTTTTCATTCTATTTCCCTTACACAAAGAACTATTGAATTCATTCAATGAGCAAAAAACTTCTAGAAAGTAGGGTGAACCCCTTAGCCTTGATAGAACAGGTTCAGAATTCTGCCACGTCTGGCTACTTAGGCCAGTGTTTTCAGCTGGGCTTGATCAAAGATGTACGAACCGTGTGTGCAAGCAAAAATCTGCCCACAAGTGTATGCTGAGAGCTGTCATCAGTCATATTCAATTGGGATCAAAATATCAAAGCAGAACAGAGGAGGCTTGGCTAATAAAGCATCTTGTGTCTGAATAAGACTTATGTTTGAGTGGAGGAAGGGAGTTGGCAAAGGAGAGCTCTGTGCCTCCCTTTTCCTTTATCTGGAATGCATTCTTACCGACTCTGGAGAGAAAAATCAGAGTCGTGCCCCTACTTGGAATTTGTGAGTTTATATGGGCACACTGTTTTTCTCTTACAACATTAAAAATTTGTCTGTGAAAGAAATATCTTTGTGGCTTTGTTACTGAAATGGAAAAATGTATGTGCCAGTATAATTACATAAATTATCTACGGAAATTTAGAGAGATTGTTTGAAAACTCTAGGCCTCTGATTAAATTCAGTCCAAGATTCTACCATGCCAAATCACTTGGAATTTGGCTGCTTCCTTGGGACCTTCTCTCCCTTTCACTGTTATGAGATAATTTGAACTTCAACTGGGAGAGTTTATGGGGGTGACAAACGCCCCTGTGTGTATATTCTAGGAATTTCTGGGATTCTCTGAAGACAGTTGTATCTTGGGCAACTGAACACTGAAATTATGCTGCTTTTTAAATGTGTCTTGTATTTGTCATAGGGCTTTAGGAAACCATTACCACCTGGCTTTGTATAAGATGTACTCACATTGGCAGTGTCTAATTAAGCTTCTCAAGACTGAGAAAGCAGGATATAGAAGAGGGGTTTAAAAAAAAAGAAAAGGAGAGC